ATCAATTCATCCATACTCACAAACGTTTTTCGTTTTTAATATTAGGAAGAAGTAAGATTTCTAATGATTATCATCATAATCTGATAGTTTTTTATTGATGATAATGGAATAGTCCACCCGTATGCGCAAATGGTTTACGCTGGCGAGGCTCCAGTAGAGGAAGATAAGATGAGCATGAGGACAGGTCAGTTAGCCTATAGAGGCAAATTCACCAGGAATTTATCACAATTGTTGGAACCGCGTGGACGTCAACTTGATGGAGATATCAATGGTAAATAGTACTCATCAGTAAAATTCCCATTCTTTTACCATCAGCCAGAATTCTAAATCTAATGCACCTGGATAAAGGAGAATTTACAACAGAAATGATCCTATGAAGTAAGGTCTTAAAAGGGGAAAGTGGATTGTTAGTAATGTAGTCCACATTACTAACAATCCACTTTCCCCCCCCATTGCTTTTTTTTGACCCCATTGCTAACAATGTACCATGTCAGGTTGATCTCCACGCGATTTCCTCTTTTTCCTCTCTTTCTGGAAACCATTACAACATGACCCCTCCCCCCACCTCCCTTCCCTTGGAAACCATCGTAATAAATTCTTGGATAATTTGTAACGTGACGTCGTGCTCATCTTATCATCCTCTACTGGTGCCCTGCCAGCGTAAACTGTTAGCGCAGGTTGGGACATCATTCCATTATCATTCATAAAATAAACCTACCTGGCTAACTAGCCATTAAAAATTAATGACTGTCCCGGTTGTGGGCAGGTTAACTGCATCCGAAAATAACTTGTATCTAAACAGATTATGTATAGCGATACATTAAACATGCGCTGTTTGTTGCTATTGAATAATTGATGTACTTTTAACAGACTTAAAAAAAGGAGGAATCCAAATAAATTTGGTTTTACAAAGTCGTCTGCGTGGTACCCGATTACAGGAGGTCCTTTTTTAAAGAGATGGAGATTCCTATTTCAGTCGCCACATTGAGATGAAACAATCAAGAAATCAAATCAAAACATCTTTATTCATGTAGTTCTATTACAGAATATTTAATGTCAAATCTACCGTCAGATCGCAGTGCTTTCGAGCAGTTCGCAGTTCTTTCGAGCTAAGAAGAACTGACTAGAAACTTAGTTCGTATTCTTTTAAAATGAGCTTGTAGATATTAGAGTAATACAGATTTATTTTTAAATTCAAATTTGGTAGAATGACCTCCAGCATATGCTATTGCAATTTTGTCAAAAGGAGTGCAATCAGTGTTCATAACCTGAACAGACCAGTCCCCATAAGCAGCACCCGTGATATGACAGATGAGCCAGCCATCATTGCACTAGCATGACTAACCCAGCTCCCGTGATATGACAGATGAGCCAGCCATCATTGCACTAGCATGACTAACCCAGCTCCCGTGATATGACAGATGAGACAGCCATCATTGCACTAGCATGACTATCCCAGCGCCCGTGATATGACAGATGAGTCAGCCATCAATGAAGACTATGATGCGGTAAGTCATGTCACAAGTAGAGTATCATTCCCATAGGATCATGGTCTCTTCAGATGGTCTGGTTCCAGTAACCTACGTTCTTTAGACGATGTATATCATTGGAGACTATTAGTTGGTAGGCCAGCACATTGGAATGATTTACTAGCCGTGCCTTGAGTGTTTTATCTCTTCAACTACTGTGCCTGTATATATATCTAAGATGCTCATAAACCTAACATGTTTTTGCAAAACCAAGGCACATTTAGCTGTTTTAAGATATTATTTTGAGCTTTGTATTATGCTTATGTTGTTTGCAGCTGAACCCCATAGATCCAAATTGGGTTCAATACAGAATAGAATAGTACAGATAATATAGGGTTGTAATTATGTATAATGTATAAGTAATATTTTGGAAAATGCTTCTAAAATATTGGTTGGATTTTCCAAGTGGGTGTCTGGCTACTGATAGGTAAGCCCTGTCTTTTATGTAATAGCCAGGGTAATCCCCTTTAAAACTACTTCACAACAGTACACTTCTGTCCCCAGATATTTAGTACTAGCTGTACCCATGACTTCATCAGCTTGGAATTTAACTTTATATTTTTTTAAATAAAAATAGCCTAATTTACTCCTTATTACACCAGCTACATGCCAAAAAAAGTCTCGTCAAAATCGGTCCAGCTATTTCAGAGATTAGCCGGAACAAACAGACAGACAGACAAAAATTTAAAAAAAAAATGTTATTTAGGTGTATGTACCATATATATATTCATATGCATGTAGTAAAAAATGGTTATTTCAATATTGCAATTAGACACTACAATTTTATTTATATGTATAGATGTATAGATATGTAGTATACTAGTACAATGTATATGTTTATATACAATGTACTAGTTGTTTCCATATAATAAGGATGGTTATAAGGTCAGACATAGACAAAAAAAAGAGATGGAATGTGACCTGAGATGAGATGACTGCGAACAAGGATGTATGGAAGAGAAAACATATAATGCCGATCCCAAAGGAATGGGATATGGAAGCAGCTGATGATGATACTATGTACTACATAACAATAACCATTAACTAAGAAGTGCAGGAAATTGGATTTTTGTATGAAAAGATTTACATAAATATATGTTACCTAGGTTACTTTTATTTTAGAAAATAAAGTTAAATTCCATGCGAACAAAGTTGCGGGAACAGCTAGTATAGTAATAAGTAGACTTTTTAACATCAGTGGCGATTCCTGTAGCAATTTGCTTTTTAATTGATTGTATACAATGCATATAATAATAAACACTAAAATGATGAATCACAAGGTTTAAATTACTCCAATTCAATTCATTTTGCAGTCTCAGGATAATAATGTGTATTATTTATATGTAATTCTATAACATTTGCAATGACACACAACAAATTATTTCAGATAATTACTCTCAAGTTGTGTGATGTTTACCTACTAATTACATTCTGCCACTTTTTCTACTTACAATCAGTACAATTATATTTGTGATGAATTTTATGTATGGTACAAAAACTCACAAATATAGTTGTAGTAATTTTAAGATAAAACTTGAGAAAGAAACTATTCTACATATAAAATTTCATCCCTTATTTAATCTATTTGTATTTGGAACATACTTGGAAATATGGGATGTACGGGGGAAATATGGGATGTATGGGAAAATATGGGACATACTAGGAAATATGGGATGTACGGGTAAATATGGGATGTATGGGAAAATATGGGACATACTGGGAAATATGGGATGTACGGGGGAAATATGGGATGCATTGGAAAATATGGGACATACGGGGAAATATGGAATGTATGGGGGAAATATGGGATGTATGGGAAAATATAGGACATGGGGAAATATGGGATGTCTGGCTTTTAGTATAAAAGATTAAAAAACTCATCACAAACATAGTTGTACTAATTGTAAGCCAAAACATGAGAAATAACTGATTCTTCACACACATTCTCATGCCTTATTTACCTCATTTCTATATTGTTTTTGGTATAAAATACAGTTTACCTATTATTAAAAAAAAATAGACAAAGTCATGGTATTATAAATGTTAAAATTTGCAAGGATAAATAGCTGTTTATTACACAAACAGTCATTCAGAGATACACAAACAGATCACACTTACTGTCCTGTATTAACACAGAATACTTTGTATACTGTAAAAATAGAATTTAATTTATTTAGAAACTAGCTCTATAATAAAAGTAGCCTAAGTTACTCCTTATTACATCAGCTACCTGCCAATAAAAGTCCCGTCAAAATTGGTCCTGCCATTTCAGAGATTAGCCTGAAAAACAGACAAACAGACAGACAGACAAAAATTGTAAAAAATGTTATTTTGGTGTATGTACCGCAGCCCAAAATAGAGTACACTGGAAGGAATTAGAGGAGGCCTTTGCCATAAGGCACTCTGTACTGCGGGATATAATATAGAAAAATGAAATTAATAAACATAAAAAAAAAATAAACTATTTAACAAACAATAAGGCTTCTTTATCTATGTACCTGTATGTACTATGTATGTGTATGTATTTATATTCATATGCATGTAGTAAAAAGCCTCAAGCAAGATTTTTTTCTGTCATTATCATGCAATCTTCCAGACTTTAAGCAGATACATTGGCAGTTATAAATTCTTGAATTTATTCATTATTATTATTACTATCTCCATCCTCATAATATATCGTATCTTGTGAAATACATCCATTAATGAAAAGTTAATAAACAACCAGCATGATGAACTTTGGCACATACAACATTAGCTTGGATGGATAAATGCATAACATTATTGATCAATTTGTTATTATGTGACACTAGTTGACCTGCACTTCGTCTGCATCACACTTACTTGACATTTACCATTATATTTCGGTAAATTTACATAACATCTTTTTAAATTATAACATGTGTAATTCCGATGCATAAGTTTAATTTTTTTAGTAAAGTTTCATGAAAATCTGTTCAACAGATATTTTTGTGAATGAGTTAGAAACATCCATCTATCCATCCATACTCACAAACTTACACATTTATAATATTACTAAGGTATAAATATAAAGGCATATTATCAGGGTGTACTTAAACATATTTTATACAGGCAATACTATGGGAAACAGTTAATTATTAATATTGGGATGGTAATAATTTTAGTATGCATATAATTGTAATATTAAAGAGATAGCTTTCTTTGCTTCACCTTTTTTTCCATCCGCATAAGAGAGTAAATGAGTGTAACAGACACAAAAAATATTTCAAAATAATCATAATAGAATAAATTAAGTTACAGGATAATTAATAGTTAGATAATAAAATGTATTAAAAACATGCAGAATAAGAATAAATACAAATTTAAACAAATAAAAAGACTAAACGCTTAATAATTCTAGGTAAAAAGACAGTATGTTCAGTACATTTGAAAGTACTGGTTATGGGTCCAAGATTTTTAAATGGTAAATGATTTATTACAAATGATTATTACCTGGCCATATCATTTGGGTCAAAAGTGACCCCAGTGCCTGGGTCCGCCATGCCGGGAATTAGGAATTAAGACGTTCAGTGTACCACCTCACCGCAACCTCTGCATCACGGCCGGAAGTGGCACAGTTCAGAACATCAGAATACACTAACTCACTACACCACAACACCTTCCATAAGCACACAACTCAAAAACTAAATTTATATACTCCAAAAACAGGAACTCGGGGATTTTAATCCAATAAATTTATAATTTGTTGACATGTATTCTCATAGGTGTCATCAGAGATCACGATTAAATGTTCACATCAGAACACATGTTTCCGTATTCATAACGTGCCGAATGTGCGTCAGTTTCACGTAAACACAGTCTACACTAACTTTCGGATGTCTAAATAAAAAATAATCTATAATTAAACCGAATTATAAATAATTCGACGGAATCACACACGCGAAGATTCGTTCTGATGATGATACATAGACAACTTTGGTTTTTTATTTTTGACGCATAATCCTCCGATTATAAATTGTCTATGGTAAAGAGCAGATTTACACTACCTAAACTAGAAGAAGTAACAAGACATAGATTATTTTTTAATATTATGCACTAGCAACATTGGTTTCATTACACATCACCTTCCAAATTTTAGTCTATGGTTGCTGTTCATTGTTTTTCTACAATGTTATTTTTCTGATTGCTGCTGGTGGACTAAAAGTTGGTCTCGCTGCGACCAGTGTGATTTTGTGCTAGTGTTCGTGCTCGATATTGTGATTTATTCGAAATAGATCACGAAGATGTCGTCACCGAGCGCTGGGAAACGTCGCATGGACACAGATGTCATCAAACTGTATCCTTTCTTTGTTATCGTCATACAAAGGACGTATTGCGTTGGAAGACCACCATGTAAATAAGTGGTAAAGGACTATCAGCTGATTGTCACGACTACTAAAAAAATCGATACGGGGTGTGTGTATAATAAATTTTGTATCCGATATTTGGCTACAAGGTCGGAAATTGTTCTCTGTATGGTTTATATTCATGATGGGAGCTTTGACCAGTTATCTTGGTTGAGCGTGCATTTTTTCTTTGTGTTGCCCTGTGGGACTACGTACGTATCTATATATAACACATAGATAAACACTCGCTGTTCGTTAGAGCACGGTACGAGGTTCCTCGCTTCCGTGTCTACTCTACTACAGTAGATTGTAATATTTCGTAATTCGTATGTAGGCCACGGTCTCAATTGCGCATTTTTTTCACTATGTCTTAGAACCTCGCATCTATTGCTTTTAATATATTCTATTTAATTAATTATACATAATGAATTATTATAAAATATAATTAGGTAATTAAACAATGAAATATAAAATTTCAACTTATAATCTGTAGGATAATATACCTAGTACTTTTTATAATTACATTTTTTTTATATATATTTCTTAAAAAGAAATAATCATAAACAATTTTTTTTTTTATTTTCTTTGTGTATATAGGGGAAATTTATCATTATCATAAGTCCACAGCAAGTTCATTGTTGTTAGTATTTAGCTAGGGGTATAAAATACCAAGTTGATGTAATATTACACTGTAAACAATGATAATCTAATATGTTGACACAAAGATTTAACAATGCATCATTGTTATCTAATTGCACAGAGTATAAAAGTTATTTATATTTTTTTAAATAATTAGCTTGTTTTTCAGAATATAGACAAAACTATGTATAAATTGTAACTATCTTCATAATGCATACATTATGAATAAAAAAAAATACATGCAAGGTAAATTAAATTAAAAAAAATATTTAGTTTATTTGATATGCATAGGATAATCTTAGGACTTAATATTGATACTTTACCAGTGAACATTTTAAATTTCAATTATTATAAAGATATAATAGGTATAAAAATAATTTAAATTATTAACCATCAAATATATAAATTATTTATATTATGTGAACAATAATTGTATAAAACAGTGTAATAATTACTATTTTATACAAGTATTGTACACATACAGATATTTTCATAAACTAAATAAAATCTTTTTCTGTAATTTAATTGTTAGTCAGTATAAACCCAAATAAAAAAAATAATTTCCTGTATTCAAAATATATATTGACCAAACTATATACAATATTTCTCTGTAATTGAATTGTTTATGTGATTTTTTTACTCATAATCTATGCATGGTGATGAATTATTGAAATGAATATTAAACACCTTATTACAAAAGTAACTGTTACATTGTTAATGTTCTATATATACATATATAAGTACTTAAATCATTAAAAGTTAATATTAGTAAAGTTATGTAATGGGAAACTCTTATAACTATAATGCCCATTTATTATGTAAATGGACTTTATCATTAGTGACACAATCTTGTGTTGTTATTTCATTAATTAATGATACAATAAATTAAAAGTACCTATTAGGTTATAACTGAATACTAATTATTAAAATTTAATTATTTATGAGTATCGATGTTTTTACTATTTTTAACACTACTGTTCAGTTCAGATGGCTGCTTCAGTTGAGAAGAAAAAGCAAGAAATTCAACTGGTACATTATTTTTATACATTTATTTAAAATTTTCTAACATAATATTTACAAAATATATATACTATAATATTTTGTATTTATACCAGAAAGTAAACATACAGTTTATTATCTGGTATTTTTCATTATCCTATAAAAAAAAATTACTTAAAAAAACATTCTTTCAAAGAAGTTTGTTATGAACTTAAAACATTTTTTTATACAACATATATAGTCTGCTCGTTGCTGTAGTAAATAGATAGATTTGCTTATTGCGTCTATTGTGACATTTGCAAGATTAAGACAAATCGACTGACGTAAGAATCATCATAATCGGCCCACGCGTTTTTCATTACAACTACACAAATTAACAAACCCATAAATAGGCATAGCAAAACACATCACCCTTCTTTGTATCGCGTAGTCGGGTAAAATGGTTTAGTAACGTTTATCTATAAACTCGTTAAATGTATGGTATAAGTACATATGTATGTTTATTTATTTATTCATTTCAATTCCTTTTTAAACTTTGTCTATCTAATCTACTTATTATTCAATCATTCAGCGTGTTGCAACTTAATACATTATATATATATAATAATAATAATAATAATAATCTCAGGACAATTCACACAGCTCAATCTAGACCCAAGTTAAGCTAGCTGAAGCTTGTGCTATGGGTACTAGATAACTGATACAAATAGATACAATTTTCGTAAATACATACATATTATACATTGAAAACACCCAGACCGATACAAAAAATCATACTCATGAATACAAATGTTTGTGCCGTGTGAGGAATCGAACCCGCGATCATCGGATGTAAAGCGGTGTGCTAGACCGCTATACCACCGAGGTCGTAAATATATATATATTAATTTCTACATAACATACTTATTATAATTTAATTATTATTTTATATAGCCATTGACTCAAAAGCAGATTTGAAAGTTATTTTCACATATCACATTTGTTACTGTTCTCAATATAGATCTGTTACAAATAGCGTTGGCTAGTGCAATTATGGCTGGCGTATCCGTCATACTCGTGAACGATTGCTGCTTGTGGGGACTGTTCTGGCCGCGGCCATTGATTAAATAATTTATTTTCAACAAAAATGCACTAGCATATGTTTGTGCTCTCTATATTGCATTTTTGTAATCATATATCAGCCCATTTCTTGTCGGTTTCTCGTTCAAAATGACGGTAGATTTTACGTATCATAAATCCGTAATAGATCTACCTGAATAACGATATTTTGATTTGTTTGAATGAAAAATAACAAATTCGTCTCTACATTCGGATTTTATTTGGATATATTTCGCTTGGCATTGCCCCGAGGTTCGAACCCATAGCGGTGCCCTCAGACTAAAGTCGTATCTGTGAGGCAGAAGATAAGTCATTCCGCGGGTTTCGAGTGCCATCTACACTCGCCAAAAGCATTAGAATAGTGCGAAAAAACAAAATATAAATTTGTTTATTATCGATAATTATATGTTTTTAAGGGCAGTACGGAATAGTCAAAAGCATGTTTTTTTTTAATAGATAAAATATAATAATAATAATCATCTTTATTTGTCTCAAACAAAAACTAATATAATTGTTGCCCATAAAATAATAAAATTTAAAAGTAATTAAAGAGACAAAACGGTCCATAACTCAGTGGAGGCAGTGAGTCCACCCTCTCTGCTATTCTGTTATAAACTTTACCGGTAACTTAATACAATAAGAGATCGACGACAACGATAGCACATTAAGTTCTAAACTACTACTAACAAAGTAAACATAAAAATTGACATTAACTTAACAAGATTACAAACTAATAAAATTGAACAATAAATAACTTCTAAAAATCTATATATATATATATATATATATATATATATATATAACTCAAAGGTAACTGACATAGTGATCTATCAACGCACAGCCCAAACCACGGGTCGGGCTGAAATTTGGCATGCAGGTAGATGTTATGACGTAGGCATCCGCTAACAAAGGATGTTGATTAGTTCTACCCCCAAGGGGATGAAAGTTTGTATGAAACCGCCGCGGGCAAAAGCTAGTATATATATATATACATCTAAACATTGTTCAGGATTCCTTGTAAGGTAAAAAATAAGCGGTTAATAGAGAACTAGCAGTCCTTACATTGCTATAAAACGATCTATAACGTTTTTATATAATTCTTTAACCATAACGCAGAAGTATTTAAATTTTTTTTTATTATCTATTAATAAGTAAGTATTCATCAAACAAATTGAGGACAAAATGGGAGTCGTGTCGTATCAAGAATTAAAGAGCATGATGGAAGATCGCGGAAAGTGGCAAGAGCTCCACCGACAAGAGCGTAGCTCTTAAATTATGAATGAATGAATGAAGTAAGTAAGTACCTAATCCAAATGACGTAAAAGACAAGTGCTTAATAGAGAACAGAGAACCAACTGCCCCTATATTCCTATAAGACAATCTATAACGTCTTTATATGCTTGTTTAACCATAATGCAGAAGTATTTAACATTTTTTTTTTATTAATAGATAAAGTATTCATTGTAAGATAAAAGACAAGTGCTTAATAGAGAACTAACAGTCCTTACATTGCTATAAAACTGTCTACTATATAACGTTTTTTATATAATTGTTTAACCATAATGCAGATTTTTTTTTAATTAAAAGAGAAGCATTCCCACTGCAAAAAAGCTTACTATAAAATTGAAGAATTCGTTAACGATAATAGTGTTTTTATAGAAAAACTTTAAATCTATAGCACTGACAATATTATCTGATTACATTAATAATGAGTGCGTAGCGACTTCTATGTTGATTATCGCATGCCTCTTACTTGTTATACTGTAGTTATTTATATAAAAAAAACATCTATTAAAAAGAGCAACACACAAGTTTCTTGCTCATTCTTCTTGTGATGAATCTGCATTCCGAATGAGTGGTAGAATCAAAATATGACTATTCAAAAGTGCTTGTAATGAGTTTATTTGAATAAAGATTATTTCTATTTCTATTGAGGCAACGGACAAACAGTTAGCAAGCTATAAACTGCATTTATGCGGTCTCAACAATTCGCAATACATCCATCATAAAGCCAGACGGTCATATTGATTTTACAGTCTGCATTACACATAAATAATTAATCTATACCCACCGTTGTACATTGACTCTGTATCCCTTGAACGAACTGAAGTTTGTCCTCGCAGTTTTTTTATTGTATGTTAAAAGTATGTATATTTATGCTCAGTAAAAGAAGTTGCGTGTTATATAAAAATTCAATGACAATTATCAGCAGTTCATTCAAAAGAAACTTTTATATTTTACTAGCTGTTAGCCGTGATTTCGTTTACGCGAAATATCACTTAATATTTTTATTAAAATAAATAAAATTTCTAAAATAAAGTAGCTATATTACTCCTTATAACATTAGCTATCTGTAAGTGAAAGTCGAATAGAAAATCATTTATACAAATAAACTTACTTTGAAGTACTTTTGAATAGTCATCGCTTAATTCTTGTTAATCTTAAATCGGTCCAACTGTTGCATAGATCAGCAAGAACAAAGAGACAGACAGTCAAAACATTATATATTTATTTTTTGTTGTATGTACTGAATATATTTCTTGTGCATTTAATGAAAAACTGTAAATTTAAAATTACAGATACTTTAAATCAAATCAAAATATCTTCATTCATGTAGGTCTATTACAGACTCTTATGATACGTCAAATCTACCGTCAGTTAGGAGTGCTTTTGAGCTGAGAAGAACTGACAAAAATCTCAGCTCTTGTTCATTTCAAATGAGCTTACTTCGCTACTGAAAAGGTTAGCGAAAAATTTAAAACTATTTAAAAAAAAAATAATTTGCAATAATATGGATAGAACCAGTATTATAAGTAAAACGTTATTGCTACTTAATGTTGGATTTCATTCGCGAAACCTCGCTGTCTCGTTGCCAACATACAATCTTATCGGACCTTATCAGGGCAATTCTGTAATATCATTTATACTACAAACATTTGTGAAACTATAAAAATTACTATTAAATATATTTAATCTAATCTGGATGACCTCGGTCGGTCTAGAGTTTTTCAAATTTCCAACTCTAAATATTCGTGTATGGCAAATTTTGGTTTTTATAGGTTTCTGAATGAGCGGTAGATTGAAAGAATGATAACTATGACTATTCAAAAGTGCTTAAATTAGGTTTATTTGAATAAATGATTTTCTATTCTATTCTATTCTATACCGTCAGATCGGAGTTATTTCGAGCCTAGAACTGAGAAGAAACTCAACTCTTATTCTTTTCAAGTGAGCTTGTACGTGATTAGAATTTCCGAAATGAAAGTTATTCTTAACTAAAATACAGTTAGTTAGTAACTAAGGTATAGTTAGGTTGTCTGTACCGTGGAAATCACAATAACTAATCTTAATATTGGTACGGCAATTAGAGAGATCAAAAATAAAATAATATTGCATTTATATAAATAACTATCTGACCCAGCATATGTTGTTTTGGCGTATAAATTAAAATCGCTATTAAAAAATTAGAGGTGATGCTAAACGGGTGAAAATTTGGAGTATGTATTTATCAATACGAAATCGTAATTAAATATAAATAAAAATTTTGAACAAAAATATTTAGGGGTGGACAACCCTTATGACTTAGGGGTATGAAAAATTCTCCGATTCTCAGACTTATCCGATATGCACACAACATTTCATAAAAATCGGTAAAGTCATTTCGGAGGAGTATGGAAGCTAACATTGTGACACGAGAATTTTATATATTAGATGCACATGTACATACATGTGTGTGTGTGTATGTATGTACTGATTGCAAAAATACAGATTCTTTATTAAATTAATTCCAATTGCCTATTATAGTAATTTTTTATCATTACAATTACTTGGGAGTATATCCTTAGCAACTTTATTTGTACTACATTTTCCTTAACTTTTTTCTGCGGATACTGTTACTGTTGGTCGCAGATGAATATTATGGTTTTATCGATCGACGTTTTTTCCTTAACAACAATAATTCAGTATTGAAAGTAAGCACGAGGTGACAATATTGGGCGGATTGAACGAGTTCTGCGTTAAATTCTTCGGTCCACCGGGCAGTGAGTATATATTATCTTATTTAAGATCTTTACTAAATTTACTCCAAGGGATTGTAACTGGATGTCCCTCATACAGGTACATAGAAATATTATTATTATTGTTCTTTATACAGGCCCAGAAGTCACTTTACATTTTGAAAATTACATATAATACTTAACATTAAAATGGCGCATATACGATCTTTGCGTTGCAACAATTGACCATCCATTTTCAAAGTAAAATTCAATTATCTTCACTCTTTGTTCTGTTGTAAACTTATCCATGATAAAAGTTTCCAGGGATTATATTTTTTAATTCTGAAAAGAGAAAGAGAAATATATTAATAGAAAAATAGTTATTTAATTTTCAAAATGTAAAGTGACTTCTGGGCCACTCTGTATATATATATTTTATATCTACCTTTGATGGGGTGATAGGATTGTACATAATTGCGAGTAAAAATCACCAAACCATGACACCTATTTATAATTATCCTTTTAAAATCTTCATCATCATAATCATTTTTCTTTCATCAGATTTTTTAAAAGGAAGACAAAAATTTCCGGATAATACTACATGTGTTTAGTATTACAGCTTTTTGTAGAAGTATGATATTGAATGTAAGTGGGTGAAGTTGCCGGCTAGCCTCAAGATATTCTTGAGCCTATCTATCTATATATATCTATATTGAGTATTCTTCAGTGTGTGAGGATGTTGGAATGACACCTGTGGACGAGATAGTAATTGGGAGAGTTTTCAATGTTTCTGTGTATTTTTAGTTCTTATTATTATTATTTTATATATCTCCCTTTTTACAGGGGTAATACATTCAAACACGCGGGCTTAGCCAAGCGTGGATGAGTTCAAGAGTTATATGAGTATGATGAAAGTGAAGACCACAGAAATTTCCGTACAATGCGGCATGTGTTGAGATTTACGGCTTTTTGTAATAGGTCTATTGTAGAGGAGGGGATATGCAACGTGTTTATTATTATTATTTATATCTTTTTTTTTCCAAAAATTCTCATCTCCCCTCTTAAGGAGAGGAGATAGCAACATACCCCCGGCAGTAGCACAGTCAGTCAGCTCATCAGTTATTATTATTGTTATACTTTTGACGGCCTCAGTGGTCCAGCGGTTTAACACATCGCTTTACTTCCGATGGCCTAGGTTCGAGTACTCGCACGGTGCTAACATTATTCATGAATAACTATGCTATAGGGTGTTTTCTATGTATATATTTACAAATAATGTTTGTATATCAGTTGTCTAGTATCAATAACATAAGCTCTGCTTAGCTTTGGACTAGATGGTGCTGTGTATATTGTACTGGGTTATTATTATTTCGGAGGATGCTTCTTATTTATATATTTGCCATGTAAAACAGTTTATATAATATATAAGCTCGTCATTTAGAAAATTATATGTCAATAGTAAAAATTAACATTAAAATAAATTTAAATTGGTCTTTGAAAATTACTAAAGTCCTTCTAAATTTTATTTTAAATCGGCTATTTCTTTTGGCAATCTATTATACATTATTATCTACAATGGCAGTCTGCTTAATAGATTTTGGTTATTTCTTACTCTGTTATTTGGTAGGCACAGAGTGCCATTTAGTGTCTGTGCATACTGAAAGCGAACGACCTGCGTTCGATCGAAACTTCGCGTCGCGTCGCGTCCGCGATCTCGAGCTGTGCAATGACCCGGCGGTGTGCACACGCCCTAACAGAGTTCAAATAGAAACACTAAAGCCGTACCTACTTTATTTTCTAAATTTATTAATCATTAGTAATCTGGATTCTAATAAGTAATTTATAAATTAAATAAACAAATCTTGAATTTCTCAGCTTATTCTATACTATAACACGCATGTATTATACATATAAACCTTCCTCTTGTATCACTCTATCTATTGCTGGAAACTACATAAAAATCCGCTGCGTAATTTAGAAAATCTAAGCGAACAAACAGCGTCGCTCACTGTGTTTTATATACATTTTTATCTGATGGATGATAATGCATTATTCGATGTATAAGATAATATTTTAAGAAAGATGTTACATATGAATGAGGATGGTCGAAAAAGAGATGGATGGACTGTGTGATAGATGATATGGTAAGAAAGGGGTTAAATAAAGAGATGACTGCGAACAGGGATGAATGGAAGAGAAAAACGTATTACGACGACACCAAATAAATGGGATTAGGACGAAGCAGATGTTGATATTGTACTACTAGACCCCGACGAAATCGCGGGCACAGCTAGTGCGTAAATAGTTTATCGAATTGATAATATATTTTATTATAAACGGCAATAACCTACTATATACCTATTCAAGAGATCAAACGAGCACGATGACCCATACGACGCGACGCGACGCGACGCGTCGATTCGCTCGCGTTTTGTCTATGGTCGATGACCCGATCGTGTAAATGCACCCTTAGTATTAAATTAACATAATGCATCTGCTACGATTGTTCCGACTATACTAAACTCTATACCAATAGGTATATAGTCTCTGATTATATCAAATGAAATGAAATCAAATTATCTTTATTCATGTAGGTCTACTACAGACTTATGATGTGTCAAATCTACCGTCAGTTCGGAATGATTTAGAGATGAGAAGAACTGAAACTCAGCTAGTATTCTTTTCAAATTTATTCATTTCAATTGTTTACAATAATGCAGATTCATTTTTAAATTCAAATTTTGGAGAATAGAGTAACCACCAGCATATGCTATTGCAAAAGCAAATAGTCTAATCAGTGTTCGTAACCCGAACAAACCCGTGTTAATTTATTTCTTCGCTAGCTGTGCCCGCGACTTTGTCGGCGTGACGTCGGATTTTTTTTATTATTTAGGCTAATTATTGTATTTTTTTTTTATGAATGACAATTGTATGGTGCACCCGCCTGCGCTAACGGTTTACGCTGTCGGGGCACCAGTGGGGGATGATAAGATGAACATGAGGTCAGGTCAATTAGCCCATCGTAACAAATTCACCAGGAATTTATCACGATGGTTACCAGGGGGAACCGCGTGGAGGTCGACCTAACGTAGTAATAGTACATTGCTAGCAATAGGATCATCAGTCCACATCACTAACAATCCCGTTTCCCCCCTAATTATTGTATAAGGCACGCATAACATCGTTCTAAATAATATTTTACTCCCTAAGTTTAAAAATTTTATAAACTTTGAATGTCAGATATTTATTTTTAATCAACAGCCTTAAAATAAGTTTTAAGCTTCTAGCTTTAAAAATGACGATTCTTCCGTACAACCTTTCATCTTTCAACCCTTTTTTCGCATTAAACAGTAGCCTATGTCGTTTCTCAGGGTCTAAACCAGCAAATTCAAAAATGGACTCTTTACTAATATAATTATATGGAATGTGAATTTCAATTTATAAATTTTTTTTACCTACTGTTTAAGTAACAATTTCCTAACCTAATGAAATTCCTAGTGAAATTTCCTAGTGAGGGGTAAAGGGTCAATTTTAGAGAAGCTACGGTGCCATACCTTAGCCTCGTTCCTCGTTCTTGTCCCTATCATTATTGTAAGATTTATCACATTTAGGTTTAGTAAAGGTTTTGTTATTCGTTGGTTTACTATTGGAATTGCTATTTATTGTCGTTTACATATAGTGGTTTCTTTCTATTTTATGTGTATGGTTATTTCATCCTCAGCTCCGTACGAGGGTGGCGTATGGCGCGTACGTGTACACTTACCAGACCACTACCCCTTCAAGTCACCCTCCATCGGCTTCATGAACAAAGTGTACCACCCCAACATCGATGAAGTCTCTGGAACCGTATGCCTTGACGTCATCAACCAGGCCTGGACTGCCCTTTATGGTAAGTCTAAAATACATACTTTAAAAAAAACTTATATTATTTTTTTACTTATTGTATGACTGTCTCGGTGGTCTAACGGTTTAACACACCACTTTACTTCCGATGGTCGCAGGTTCGATTCCTCGCACGGCACAAACATTTGTATTCATGAGTATGATTGTTTGTATCGGTCTGGGTGTTTTCTATGTATAATATGTATTTACGAAAATATTTATATATATATGTATCAGTTATCTAGTACCCATAACACAAGCTTCAGTTAGCTTAACTTGGGTCTAGATAGCGCTGTGTGAATTGCCCTGCGATTTTTTTTTATTGTATTTTTTATCCACATAGTGTTGTTTATTACTATTATATTATATACTAGCTGCTCCCGCGACTATCTCCGCGTGGAATTTAATTTTATAGTAGCCTAAGTTACTCCTTATTACATCAGCTACCTGCCAAAAAAGTTCCGTCAAAATCCAGCCATTTCAGAGACTAGCCGGAACAAACAGACCGACAGACAGACAGACAAAAATTATAAAAAATGCTATTTTGGTATATGTACCGTATATATTTTCATATGCATGTAGTAAAAAGTGGTTATTTCAATATTACAAACAGACACTACAATTTTATTTATATGTATAGATGTATAGATATATGTAATATATATGTCGGCATGCGAGTTATATAGCGTATTTGCTAAACCAATGCTATAGGAAATATAAAACGCTTGTATCACATCCAACGACCGACCTTCCACAACCGATGAGGTCATATCGTTACGGCTCGTATTGTAAACCTAACAACAGTTTTTTACAGCACAATAATTGTACATATTATTTTAAATCAATTCAAATCATATTTACTTGCGATAAACATAGGTTTACATTGGTTGTAATTGTAGAATATAATGTCCTTATGTTTGGTCTCATTAGGCATGCAAAAATTTTTTATTATGTTGACCGTATTGAAAAATCTTATTTCTCACATAGAGACCATCATTTTTTTAATTGTTAATTACGTACATTATTTAAATTATTAACCGGGGCTTAACACGAATAATTTTATGGCAAATAAAGGTATTTACCTCTCTCGACGTTTCGACTAGGTTGCACTAGCCGTGGTCACGAGCTGACTGGAGTAACAGCGATATCAATGTAGATAGGTGACAGCAGTTTTTTCTTCATCTACCGTCACTAGATTGTTTAACGAAAGTTCGCGACACACAGCACTCACGGTATCCGTACACTTATTGCCTATTGTTGCTACTGAATATATACATAGTATATTTTTTAAATAGTATCCTATGTTCATTCTAATACCTCCAAGAACTTGTGTACTAAATTTCAGGATGATCGGTGTGTTCTTGCGTGAAAGCGTAGCAAACATCACTACTTTCATATTTCTATAATATTTGTAAGGATTTAGATAACGTTTGCCAGGTCAGCTAGTATGAAATATTAATATTAACATATGTATTTTGCAGACTTGTCAAATATATTCGAGTCATTTCTACCACAACTGCTCACGTACCCGAATCCGATCGACCCGTTGAACGGCGACGCTGCCGCCATGTACCTGCATAAACCTGAGGAGTACAAGAAGAAGGTCTCAGGTGCGTATCAAGTTTTGATGAGACTTGCTTAACGACCTAGGTGGTGTAGCGGATTATCTCACCGCTTGAGGTACTTTTTTTTATAGATGACTAGCTGCACCTGCGGCGTCCGCATGGAATTTAACTTTATTTTTCTAAAATAAATGTAGCCTAAGTTACTCCTTATTACATCAGCTACGTGCCAATAAAAGTCCCGTCAAAATAGGTCCAGCCATTTCAGAGATTAGCCTCAACAAACAGACCGACAGACAGACAGACAAAAATTGTAAAAAATGTTATTCTAGTGTCTGTATTTATATTCATATGCATGTAGTAAAACACGGTTATTTCAATATTACAAACAGACACTCCTATTTTATTTATATGTATAGATAATGGAATAGTGCACTCGCTTGCGCTAACGGTTTACGCTGGCGGGGCACCAGTAGAGGATGATAAGATGAATATGAAGTCAAGTCAGTAAGCCCGTCGTGACAAATTCACCAGGAAGTTATCACGATGGTTTCCAGGAGGCACCGCGTGGAGGTCAACCTGACATGGTACATTACTAGTGCTGGGGTCATGAGTCCACATTACTAACAACCCTCTTCCCCCCCCCCCCCCCCTACCGCTTTAGGCTTATCACGCTTTGTGGTGAGTTTTGATAGGTGTTTGTTTTATGATATATGACACTATAAAAAGGTCATTTGTTTTATAAAAAAAGGCCATGTTTTAGAGAGAAATTAAGAAATCTATTTTGATACAATTATATATTTATTAATACACCTATACTTTATTAATTTTGCGTTAATGCGTTTTAAATAATCACTAGAATAACCTATAAAAATGGGTAATTAATATTAATTTCCGTTACTGCCACAACTGTATTTAAAAAATGCCAAGACCTGGCAACATCGGAAACGTCAAATTTGTCTCAAGGATTAAAAAACAGACTATAGCTGCTGTTTCTTGAACTATTTCCTCGACGTCTTTCCGCCATGTTCCGGATCCCCTTTAATTATTTAATTATTTTAGAAATATGAAAGCGTAGCGGTTTTTGTATTGATTGCCGCATGCATTCTTATGTAAAATGTGAATACTATAACTATGAGATGGCAATTGTAAGTAGCTTTGACGTGGTCTGGTGTTTTGAGTAGTCATGCTTGTGGCGGCGTGGTGGGCCGGGTCATTGGGCTCCCTAAAATATGGTCGAGCGCAGAAATGGCAGGCTCATACATCATACTCGTGAACGGGTGCTGCTTGTAGGGCCTGGTCTGCTCTAATCACTATGACTGATTTCCTCTAATTAATTGTTTAACCAGTTGGTTATATATTCAATATTTTTTCTATTTGATTATTTAATTGAATTAGTGCTAATAGGTGGTTTGTATTCACACACTTAAATTTAAAAATGTAAAGTAATAATAAAATTATTTAAAAGAGCAACACGCAAGTTTCTTGCTCGTTCTTCTTGTGATGAGACAGCTTTCCGAACGAGCGGTAAATTAAAACTATGTAATGACTATTCAAAAGTGCTTCAATGTAAGTTTATTTGAATAAATGATTTTCTATTCTATTCTATTCCCCCGGATGAAATAAAAGAGCGATAAACCGAAACAGCGCTAAACGAAATACCATTCAGCGGGGTTTTACTGAACATACATATCTTGAAGTTTTTATTTCTATTAAAATTACAGACTATGTCCGGAGATTCGCAACTGAAGAGGCTCTGTTAGAAAAAGACGCCATTACCGGAATGGGCGGGGCCACGCCGGCGTCGTCAGGCACCAAAACCTCGAACGGAACAGCGAATAACAATGCAAGCGAGACAGAAAGCTCAATGAGCGATTTCAGCGACGACGAAGCGCAAGATATGGAGTTATAACGTAAGTTACCCCATATAGAGATTCGCGCTTGCTCACTCGCCACTGCCGTTGTTTAAATTGTCTATGGTCTGTATTGTCTATGGCACGGTCTAGTCTATGCCGAGTGTATTTGTAGCCTATAACCGAATAAAAATTGTATACCCAATAAATGAATCACTCCGTTTGAAATTACTTTTCGGATATCTTCTCGCGTATATTAAGTTGATAGAATGAAACGCAAAACGAGAATCTTCTATCCAGCTTGTGGCATCATGGATGTGTTTTGTGGTAAAGTTTTGATAAGAAAATTTATTGTTAACAGTTCTGTTTGTGTCTACAATCTTTATTTGGTTATCAATTTTTCTTCTTAATGATTTTTATAATGTTTATAGCTGCGTGAATATGTGTTTAATGTTTCTATGAGAAGTGAATTTATTAGATCTTTTACATATTTTTATATTAATCTTGTGAGTAATGAATATCAGTCTGTGAAAGTCTTACACTACTGTTAACTCGAGGCTAAGCCTCGAAGATTGTGCGGGAAAGTCTTAATGTGTTGAAAACATGATTCATTATGTATTGCATCGATAGAGGCTGTCTTGTACAAAAAAAATGGCTTTAATAATAATCGTATTGTCAAAATGACAACTTATCACCTCACTATTTCTTATTCATCGACCATAGACAATACAGACAATAAAATGTATTTTTAATCTGTAATAAAATACAGATGTCGTGTTTGCTGCCTCACAAAAAAATATCTGAATTATAAGACATTATATTTTATGGACCACTATTGCCAATTTTAGAGTGTTAGTTTTTAATTAGCAACGGTTATGTATGCTCAGAGTATAAATTTAAAAGTATACAAATCGGCAGCGAACATGACTCGATGTGTGTTCTATAATCTATGGAAAGGAAAGAAAACGGTTATAAATAACCACCTTAAAATTTGTCTTTTAAACTATTTAGTCGTTGGTGTGTTATGGAAAGTGTCTATGGAAAATTATTAGGATTGTATGTACGGCTTGTCTTTGATCATTATAGTGTATTACGCTTAGCAGCAATATGATAGGAAAAAAGTGTTCACGATTCGTATCTCCTAATATTGTTTGGATAGATGGCTTGGAATGTCGACGAAGGGAAATTAACGTAGGCTATGTTTAATGTAAATGTATGGACATTTAAACCTTAGATTTTAATTATGTATATGGCATGCTAACATACTCTAAACTTTTAAAATATTACCACTTTATCATCTGTAATTTATTACCAGTAAAGCGGCAGCAACGGTCGTGGGAGTGAGCGAGAGGTAGCACTTTGTAAATAACTTTAAATCTGTCCCCATAGTATAAATATAACAAATCGATAACGGAGTCCGTTCGCCGGGACTAGAGTCACTTTATATCTCATAGTTATTTAATTATTTTTTATGATAGTTTTAATTTTGAAGCAATGATGTGTCATGTTTTATTGTGTTATTGTCCATCTCCCTCTATGACATCTATGTATTTGTAACAATATTTTGTTAATGGCAACACTATAAAAAGTTTAGATTGTCTATGCTTCGGCCAGGGTTGACTCTAAAATTGTGCGTTCACATTAATGTTAAATACAAAAACTGTGATTAGTTTCTAACTTTGTTTATGGAAAATATGTCAATTTGTCGTTAAAGAGGTTGAGATATCGTAAAGCTGTACTTAGTATAATTGCGCCTTCGTTTGTTGCTTGTAGATTTTTTTTTAATTCGTATAATGTGCTCTATCATCGTTCAACATCGCCGTTCTTTAACAGATCCATTGTAATTGTAAGCTCGGTATGTTTATTAGTATGTATTTTTTATGATTTTTCTTATATTACAGTCTAGATTTACAAAATGAATCATTATTTCATGCTGCTATTAAAATTATTTTAATTTGAGAGAGAATTGATTATGCATTCATATTGAACTTATAGCTAATCTTCAGTTTTTTTTATAATAATATATTGTTTCATTATAAATAGTACATTATTTTTATATGTCTGGATAGGCGGTGTTGGAAACCAGAAGCAGTGTTCTCTCACCAAATAATTTAGCATTTTGTTCGTATGTAACTTGGCGATTTCAAGCGTTGACGCTATGCTGACCTGCCAATGTTGTCTTGGCCGCTTTTGTAATGTTCTTACTGGCAACACCGGAATGCAGTTGTCGATTGTATCCTTTATCGAGTAATGGCAACACTAAATCGACAATGGAACAGCTCAAATTTACAGGTGTTTTTATTTTGATTGTTGCGTTTTCGAGTAATTTCTTTTGGAGATTTTATTCAGATATTAAATGTAGACTATGTACACGAGCTTTAATTATGTTTTTGTTATATGTATGTTAGCACAGTGTTGCCATCTCGCTGGTTGTTTAATTCGAAAATATTGTAAAATAAGTAATGTTAATTACAGCAATCCGTATCAGTAACTTTAGTGTTTGTTAAAATGCTCATAGTTATCTCAAAGTTCTAAATACTAATGAATAGTTACTGGCACAGTTGAATATTGTTATCTAGTGTTCCGTCATGTTACAGAGGTATGAAAGAAGAGCATTACAAAACAGATCTCTGATAATTGACACATTGCGAACTTAAAGTATTGCAATCGTCACATAAATGTAAGCTAGATTATAAATAGATATAACACGAAGAATTATATTAATATTATAGACATTTATCTACGCCATAATAATATATTTTGGTATAAGGAAGTTAACGTATAAAAAAAATAATTTTAACCTTGGGTTGGTTTAGGACCAGTTTAAGTTAATTTAACGAAATCCCGTCTCTAATGTTTCTAGCCTTAAAGTACATATCTGAAAAAAAAACTATTTTTATGAGTGCGTTATATTATCATTAAATTTTAAATTATCTCATATATATTATTATTTCTCATTGATGTATTAGAGACTAAATATATTGTCTCAATTTTACTACAATTGGAAATTATACTGAGAATTCAAATTGTCAAGAATCTGGACATGTATAGATAGGTTTTCTCTATCACACCCATGACAAGACAGCAACGTCTGGCCCTAGTTCTCTCCCATGCGTGCGAAAGAGAAAACATATCTACCAATCAACTCAAGTGTCACATGTTCATCATATTAGAATATAAACAACTTCAGTGTTATTTTAGAAGTTTGGCTTCAAATCAGAATTAGACTTGACGGAAAAAATTAATCATCACAATTCTTCAGTATAATATAAATTCGACTCTATTATTAATCGTACGGTTGATTAACTTAAACTGGCTCCAACATTGGTATCGTTCACCCATGTTTCAGTTTGATACAATTATTAGTTAAATTCTGTGGTATTGATGTTAGATTACTCGTATGGAATGGGCCAGCGAAGATCTTCAAATGCACACCATTTCTTTATGTTTCCATGAAATAGCGTAGTATTCATCTGAGGCAATCTACTAATTATTATTGTGAATAGTGTTATAAGACATGTACTGCGTTAAAATGGAACTAAAATATATATAAATAAGCACTATATTAGATTGATGTATCTTACGAAAATATATAATAGAAATACATACATATACATATCTATTATTCAGTTCATCAGTAATAGAACAATCAAAACTTAGCAATTGATCAAAAAATAAACTATGGAACTAAGATGTGTATAAAATAAGGTTGAAATTGCAATGAATACACAAGCTACCTGATAATGTAATGCACTCTTAACAATTCTGATGTATTTCTGTATCTGTCGTTCTAAATGTAACAAAAACATATATGAGCGACGGTAATAAATTTTTATTAGATAGATCATCAAATTGCCAGTCCATCAAAAAAAAAAGTGAAATCTTTTTTTTTATTAATAATTTTATTATAATAGTATTTATACGCAGAACGATCTGTATCTTATACTGATATATTACAGCTATATATTTAATACCTGTTCTTTCTGCTACAAACAAGAATTGTTAGCAAGGGCGTTACTTAATCAAATGTTAATATAAAACAAGAATTTCTGTTAGAATAGTTTTGATGGTTTTGGGAATTATTTTTGAGCCCAACATAAAGCAGGATAATGGATATTATCTTTTCATATCACGATATATGAATGCCTCAAGTGTTTGAATATCTTCGCCCAACGCAATGGTGACGTGACATAGCTATTGGTATGTCGGAATGATTAATGAACTTGTAAACGATTTGAATTTTTTAAATATTGACGTAAACGCGGTCAGGTCACGATTGTAAGGTTATAATGTAGAGAAAGTAATGGTTACTTAACCAGAACGTCGGGACACGGAGGTCCCATCGGTTATACATGTAACAAAATAAATCTACGATTCTATTTTTATTTAATTACATGTAATAAACTTGCGTTATTTTTAAACTATTCTTGTTGTTTTTATTCATCCTGATAAATATATTTCCTTTTCATGTATCTGGAATAATAAGCACACTAAAAACACACATTTGTTGTCATTCCAGAGAACTAAGTTGACATGATCCTTATCATGTCTACTTAGACTTTTATCCTGTAAATTCACTACCTTATCTCAACTTAACAAAACAGCTTTAGCAAGCTTCTTGGCGACACAAATGGGTGAAGAAACACATGTTAATCAGCAGCGACGATACAAAATGCTTAATTTCTTCTTTCACTTATACGTACTTATCAGCTGGTGAACGGTTGCCGTTGACGGTAACACAGCTGAATCTGTACAAGTCTATCTTTCGCTCCTTTATTTTTTGGGGTTGTTCACTCGATAAAAAAAACTATACAAATAAAACTACATAATGATTTATTAACATAACTCTATTAAAATAAACATATCAACAATAAGCTTTATGTACAGTACACCATACATTATATACACCGTACAATAACGCTATATATGGCGTTACAACGCTCACTTCAGTCACTCTAGAGCTGGTGTTGAGCAAACGGCATTCAATTATTAGACACGCATTACATTAAAGCAAATCAGGCCAATTAAAAAAAAAATTGCAATTAAAATTCAAATAAAAATGGACTAATATAACTATATAAGCGCGTGCGGACAGGTCTTAATATATATATACATTTTTTTAAAATTTTAATTGCAACTTATATGATTTTATATATATACATATACGATATTGCAATTAAATAAAAAAAATGCTATTAAAATTCAAATATACGGACTAACCTAATCTCCGTTCACACAGACAGAGTAGGTAATATGCATAAATGACATATTTCTAGCAAAGTACAGTCAGGTTTACCCCTATTTCATATATAAACCATCGGGTATTTCCTAGTGTTTTACCATGATTAATTCTGGCCACACATTCCCGGTAACAGTCGGACGACACGAGCGGACAGTTACCGTTTGATTACGAGCCGTTTTTGAAAACGCGCCAGTCGAAAGGCGTCGTTGGCACGCTTTGTTCATATTATAGTTAATAATGCAAGCATAATCTAATTGGACTCACTCATCCTCGTTCTATTACCCTTTACTGGTACCTAATCAGCGTATATCGTTACCTCTCCATTATACATTAAGCCTACATGAAGTGCCAGACAGTTTTGATGGAGATGAAAATTCTACTCAATAACATGTTCACTTAAGTCCAATTTGCTTTGTCTCCAAATAGTACAAGGCGTTTAGAACGACCTATATTAACGTATTGGACACACTCAAAATTTTACTGAATAACTTTGCAGTCCGATTTGCTTTGCCTACACGTAGTTTTGATATAGTACGTGGGGTTTAGAATGGCTAATAACGGGACACATTCAAAATTCCACTTAATAACATTTGATTTAAAGTTCGATTTGCTTTGTGTACATAATGCGTGTCTACAATATAATGCATATATTAGTTGAAAATTCACATTATAAATAATAAAACAAAATAAAAATACAATATCTAAACCCAGCAACGTTTAGACAACTCAGTATAACATTCAACACAATGTTTATACATATTAATATAATATTTTATTATATACCTCATAACCTTCAAAACATTATAGAAAGAATTGGCGCTAACTTTAATATTTCTTTGTTTTGTTATTGAAGATACAGTATAGTTGTGATTGCCGACAGCAGACGGTGGTCTAGCGGTTTAGCACATCGCTTTACTTGCAATGGTCGCGGGTTCGATTCCTCGCACGGTGCAAATATTTGAGTATGATTATTTGTATGTTTTTCTGGGCGTTTTCTATGTATATTATGTATGTATTTACAAAATAAAAAATATCTAAGTATTTATATCAGTCGTCTAGAACTTGTAACACAAGCTCTGCTTACCGCAGGACTAGATGGCGCTGTGTTAACTGTCCAGAGTTAATTATTGTTATCGTTGTTAATATTAGTTTAAATTATCGGCCATTCTGAGCTACTCTGAATTAGTTACAACCAAGATGGAAGAGTCGCGGGTTCTGTCTTAACCTTTCGATCGTCTGTCGCAGCGACCGAAAGTCAAGAGGCGGTTTGCGCGGCCCAGCGCACAGATCTGTGTCAAAATGTTCGAAGGGTTAAATATTGCGTTAATTGTGTTTCTAGCTTATATTTTCTTGCCAGTACGTCACAGCAGAAGTGGTTATCCGAACTGGACCGTAGGCATAGTGGTAAAAAATTCCGTGCACATATAGGGTAATGAAATCACTACCACATATTAGGAATAAGAAAGAAAAGATCTTACACATGAAAATAACCTTCTTTTTCAGATTTTCTTTTAGATATATGTACAAATAGAATAAGTCCGTTTTATAAGAGAGTTCGAGTTAGCTATTGATTAAATTAACAAAAATGCAATAGCATATACTGGTAGTCACATTCTTTCTAATTTGATTTAAATATTAATTTTCTAAACATGTACAAACTCATTTCAAAAGAATAAGAGCCGAGTTTCTTATCAGTTCTTACTTACTCAAACACTCAGAATTGACAGTAGATTTGACATATCATAAGAGTCTGTAACAGACCAATTTTTTTAACTGTCAGCTGTCAAAACGACATTAACGCCCAATCTGTGAGACCAATTACAGGACGGCTGTATGGGCTTAGACTCTTTGCCTTTCCATTACGGATAAATAAAACAAAAAAAAAAACCAATTACAGGACTTCTCACAGATGGGGCTATAGTGCCCGAGTACAATAATTGGCTGCTTCGCAGATGAGAGGTTATATGAAAAAATATTATGATTTGGTACAGATTAACTCTAGAGTGACGTCACAACATAAATGCTACACTGGTCAGAAGCAATATTCGTAACAAACATATTTTTTTATAGAAAACAAACATACCTCGAGCTCAAGTGCACACAGGCTTTTGTGATAATTATTCGAATTGTCTACATTCGTTTAGTTTGAAGTGATTTGTGTTTTAGATTGTTTGGGTGCATTTATAAAGCTTATTTTATCGACTATGAAAATCTGATAGGATTATATCAAAATTGAAGGTTTAAGATATCTCTAAAAAAGTCTATCTACCAGTTGTCTATGATAGGATTACATCATAAACATTTAAGGTATAAATTATCTCTAAAAAAATCTATCAGTTATCTAGTACCCATAACACAAGCTCTGCTTAGTTTGGGACTAGATGGCGCTGTGTGAATTGTCCTGTGATATTATTACTTCCTTTATCCTGTATGATATAATAGCTTGATTCACAATATACAAGTCTGTGTTTATTACTCTAAATATTTATCTAATTTATTAAATATATATAAATTTTATAGAACCCATAATACAAGCTCTGTTTTGTTTGGGACTAAACGACACTGCTTTTTATCGGACTAAACTAAAAACAACATTGCAACATACAGCAAAAATTTTATACCTATAAAATTGTAAATAACTGTTAAGAATAATTAAAATAGTGTTTATTTGTTCATTTGGTTTAAATCCACCTCACTCATACATCCGAAACACACACCACTTCTGTCAATTGATTTTTCTATAGTAGACTACTAAGGTTTTACTTCTACGGCAGGCCAGTAGCAAATAGTATACAAAATATAACATGAAATTTAACTAATGTTAAAAAAAATATTTATATATAATATTATAAAATCTATTACGTGTGATGTTAATGAAAAATAGGGCTTAGCCTATGCTGATATCCCTAGGGTTTGCCTCTATGTGACCTGCGATTGATCCCCATCCAATTCAAACATGCTATATATGCCAATGGCTTCTTTTAATAACTATTCTAATGCTGTCGGCTGCAGTTGGCCTTTACAGCTTCACCGAACGATAGGTGCGAGTGTAGATGGCATTTCAAATCCGCAGTACGACTTACGGAGCGGCTTAAGCATGCGAGTTCAGATGGCACTCCAAACTAGGACTTATAGCGGCTGAAGACCAACTGCCCGACGGATACGACTTTATCCTGAGGGACAGCTAGGGGGTTCGAATCTCGGCTTAGACCGTCGTAATTTCGAACCCAGTGTTAATTGGGATTAATCTAAGGGTTACTTCATTGTTACAAAAAGGGGTTAGGATTGTTAGTAATGGGGCCTACAGGTCCCATTGCTAGTCTCTGACATAGTAAATTACTAGTCAGCTGGTGTTCCACGCGATCCCTCTCCATTGGTGAATACCAGGGATGTTAGGGAGCTCCGTAAGCGTAACCGAAACTATCAGATATCCGATATAAAAAATATTCGTAACCGTAACCGAATCCGAAATAAGTTTTAGAATAGTATCGTATAGGGGCGGAGCCTAATTGATACTGATTGTAATTCCTACAAAATGCTGACATATAAATAAAAACTTTCGGATCAGGCGGAGCCTAATTGAGACTGATTGGAATTCCTACCAAATGTTGACACATAAATAAAACCTATTTATCAACTATTTGTATTTTACTTTTTGGAATTCCTTAAAAAACTTATACCTGTAACCGAAATTATCCGAAACTAACGGATAGTCCGAAATAATTTCATATCCGCATCTGTATCCGTATCCGGTATAATAATCATTCCTATATCCAAAACCTATCCGTATCCGAAGTTTCATATCCATAACATCTAACTTGTGGTCACTCTGTTCTCCCAAATCCAAAAAATGAATCTGTATTATTGTAAACATGTATAACATTTATTTGAAAAGAATACGAGCTGAGTTTTTTGTCAGTTCTTCTCATCTCGAAATCATTCCGAACTGACGGTAGATTTGACATATCATAAGTCTGGAATAGACCTACATGAATAAAGATATTTTGAATTTGAATTTGATTAACATCCCTGGTGAGTATATATTGTATTGAAGTGGAATATTACAACAAAACTTAACATACCCATATCATATAGTATCACTATTTGCTACTCAACCGGATTAGTAAATTAGAGCTGCAGTCCACAATCACGGTACCAGCGACTCCATAAACATTATATTAACATATAATGAGTCCACAACCGAATTTAAACTGCTGTTTCGCCTGATTCGCCATGCCTGACAGAGCGAAGGTGAATGGCAGAGGTTGGAGTTTCTTCTCGAGGACTGCACCAATGTTCCAGTTGGAATCTACCATCCCTGAAGAGGAATAAGAACAAGGTGATTATTCATTTATTCTTTTACACAAAGATATATGTATAAAAGGAGAGCAAGTTCATATATAACGGCTGACAGTGATCAGTGGAAGATATCTTGAAAGATCGGTTGTTATGAATGAGTGATCTAATTGATTTTTATAACATTTTTGTAACAGTTATAAAATGTGTCTTAATTGATAGGAAAGGAAATAGCAAAAAGGTTAGTCGATATCACAGGAGACTGAAGAGCTGGCAGCTACTGGCGGACAAAGAATTAGTATAGCCATTCAAAGGGGAAATGCAACCATTATCTTCGGTACCTTGCCTAAAGGGACTTTTTTAATAACATAATTTAGTTATTATACACATATTATTTTTTAAGGTTTTTTAGTTTTAGGTTAATAATGTTAGTTAGTACTAGCTGTACCCGCGACTTCGCCCACATGGAATTTAACAAAACAGAATCTTTCTAATATAAAAGTAACTTAAGTTAGTCCTTATTACATCAGCTAGCTGCCAATAAAAGTCCCGTCTAAATCGGTCCAGCCATTTCAGAGATTAAATGGAACAAACAGTCAGACAGACAGACAAAAATGATAAAAAATGTTATTTTGGTGTATATACCGTATTTATATTCATATGCATGTAGTAAATAACGGTTATTTCAATATTACAAACAGACAGTCTAATTTTATTTATATGTATAGATTAATTTTTAATAGTTATATTTTATATATGTATATACTTTACATATATCAACATACCTCTAAACATAAGATCAGCCTTTGGTATGTTAACTTGATAACCGATTGTGCCCACAGACTCCATCCCTCTAAACGAAGTGTCAATTTCTGCTACGATCTGAAATTAAAATTGATTTATAATTTTTAATACAATAAACATTTACATAAAGTGTAGGACTTTCATCTTTGTATGATATATAATACGATAATAAAGGTAATATCTCATTTAACATATGTAATTTAATTTTGTATTGAAAATATTCTAAAATTTATTAACTGCCTGCAAATCAATCTTTATTTAGGAACTATAGTTGTTAAAAAACCTATTATAAAATAACGACAGCTATTTAACCAAATTTCTGGTTAGCTACTTATAAAATGCCGTTATTAACGGTTAGTTATCCAACTTCGACAACGAAAAAGAGACAAATCTGTCATTAAATTATCTTTTTTTAAGACTAGATAGTCTGGACAATGAAACACTTACTTTCTTTGGGATTTTATAATATATTTCATATATGTCCATTAAAATAATCAAGTATAATTAAGACTGGCACGTTTTTGGAATTTTTAGTCGAGCCTTTATAAAGTTAATTTGTCTTTTGTTGGTCAATCCTTTTTGGGCTCTACTGAAAGTACCAAGCATAAAATGCTGTTAATTAACCGTTAATAACGAAAAATGCATTTATAACAGCTCGGTTAAAATCGTTTATCGGCTTAGAATCGATATCCACACCCCTTCTTGTTAACTAGTTTTAGACCTAAGATGTGGATGACTGTGCAGCATACAATACCTGTAATTGTTCACTGGCTTGCTTGAAGTAACATAAGTGGAAACCTGCCGCGCCCACCGTCGCAGACACCTCCGAGTCTAAACAAGAACAATATATTGTTTAACGTTTCGTTTCACTCTTAAAAATTACCGCGATTTACAAATTATGACTTAGTATTTCAGCTGTACCTGAAAATACATATATACACACATGGGATGTGTATAATATGGTTGCTGTATACCAAATTGAAATAATTTACTCACCATCCATGGTGTACCTGCCAGCGGCAGAAGCGATGGCAATCTCACCACCCATCACCCTTGTGCCCGACTGGTACACCAGTTCAGCGCCTAAAGCTAGTCGCTTTGTCACCGACTGTAAGGAAAAAACATTAAATTTAAATATATATAACTCAAAAGTGACTGACACAGTGATCTATCAACGCACAGCCCGAACCACTGAACGGATAGGACTGAAATTTGGCATGCAGGTAGATGTTATGACGTAGGCATCCGCTAAGAAAGGATTTTGATTAATTCTACCTCCAAAGGGATAAAATAGGGGATGAAAGTTTGTATGAAACTTTGTCAATTATAAACCGCTCGGGCTGAGACTTTGCATGCATAAAGTTACTATGACGTAGCGTGGCGTAAGAAAGGATTTTGATAAATTCCACCCCTAAGGGGATAAATTAACGCGAGCGAAGCCGCGGGCAAAAGCTAGTTTAAATATAATCTATATCTATACTAATATTATAAAGCTTAAGAGTTTGTTTGTTTGAACGCGCTAATCTCAGGAAATACTGGTTCGAATGGAAAAAATCTTTTTGTGTTGGTTAGTCCGTTTCTCGAGGGAGGCTTTAAGCTATATAACATTACGCTACGACCAATAGGAGCGGAGCTGCAATGAAAAATATTGCAAAAGGTGGGGAAATGAAGCGCAGACGAAGTTGCGCGGGTCAGCTAGTATTTATATATACATATAATATTATAATTGTTCATTGCATGAAATATGGTGGTAATCTGATGTTGTTATTTAAATTATTATTATTTGTTTTAGATATTAAACTATTCACACAGCACCATCTGTAGTCACAAGTAAAGCAGAGCTAGTGTTATTGTTAGTTGTTGTACTATATAACGGACAGAAATACTAAAATATTTTTTTTTATAAATACATACATACAAGACCTATAAACACAATAATACATGAGTGTTATTGTTTGTATCAGTCTGGGTGTTTTATAATATAAATGTTTGTACAGTGCGACGAATCGAACCCGCAACTATCGGAAAGGTTCTATAATATATATAAAGAAACCCACACTGACAACGCTTACAGTTCCTTGGTAAAAATGTCACCAAAATATAATTATGGGATCGTTACCACACATATGAATGACATATCAAAATACATAAATACATTATCCACAGAACATAGAAGTATTTCTACTTCTCTGTTCTTATTTTTACCCGTATTACCTGTAAATAATGTCCAACAATGACAGCTGACTTGTCACTGAGGTCAGGTTTAGCTACCGTGACAGCTGCCGTGTAATCAGAGCCCTTGTACTCTACTGTGCCCTGAGTGGTGGTCAGTTTGCACTCTTGAATCTGAAAATAGAAATAGTATGGAATAGAATAGAAAATCATTTATTTTAAATATAAACTTAATTTAATCACTTTTGAATAGTCATATTTTCATTAATCACTTTTTTTGAATAGTTATATTTTTTTGTTTTTGTACTAATCTATGTATTATGAATAGCAAATACTACACACGCCTTACATTGTGAGGCTTCATACACTCACAGATACACTGGAGTGAAAATTATGCAACAAAAAAATATAATAAAAAAAAAGGTAATAGGTAAAATTTTAACAAATAGTATATTTTTTATTGAGAGTTTTGGGCTCTTGTCAGGTGCTAAGACCTGTAACACTACAACCTGCATAAATCTCTTGTGCTCACCCTTATTTAAAGTTCACTACCTAGAACCGTCAGGAAGAAGAATTCAAGGGTATTCTTAGGAGCAATGATTTTTATCTCCTCAGGACACAGTGTATACTTTCCTAAGAAGATATTTCATTTATCCATGAGTGGGCTACAAACACATAAGATGTAGCATCGGCTTGGCAAAATCTGCAGATTGTTATTAAGTTTATGCTTAATTTTGCCATGTATTTATTCAATTTGCAGTGTCCAATGAGGGACATAGTCATGATAGAGATAAAATATGAAAGTAAGTATAAAACCAACCTGTGCAGCACCCTTAACTCTAATTTCATTGGTTAGTTGATGTATAATGTTGAAATTGACATTCCCAGAAGGATCTACATCTCCAAGCAGCACAGGGAACGCTTCCGTAGGAGATATCTGCTTTGTGCCAATGTATGTTGCTCCTAGTTTGTAGCCATTTTGTGCTGAACTCATTGTGAGTGTGTGTGACATCTGGAATCATTTGTCAAGTTCTTTATTTAAAGATAGAAAGTATTCACAGTATAAAGGACTTTTTTTTTACAAAAAATATCTAAGGACAATTCACACAGCCCCATCTAGAGTCAACTAAAGCTAGCAGAACATTTAGATCTAAATTAAGTTGGCTGATGCTTATGTTATGGGTACTAGATAACTGCTATAAATACTTAGATATGTATTTTTTTCATAAATACACACATATTATACATAGGTAACATCCAGACTGATACAAATAATCGTACTTAAGAATACAAATGTTTTTTCTGTGCGAGGAATTGAATCTGCAACCAACGGAAATAAAGTGGGGTTCTAAACCATATATACATAGAAACAAATATAAAAAAATACCTGAAAATGATTTGAGATGCCCTTGTTAAACATCAGTTTGCCTCCTTCAAAGTTGACTGGCATTACTTCTGCAAAGGTAATAAGTCATGATGATTTAATTGTATGTTTATGTATTAAAAATAAAATAGAAAAGTCACAAAACTCAATAAATATATTATGTATAAATAAATATACTTTAATGCTATTTTCAAAAGTTGAATTATTATATTATATATTAACAATGCATAAATATTACAAAAAGCAAAAGAGAAAAACGAAATTAAAAAAAGATGATAAAGACTAGTGTAGCAAAAGATTGCTAGGACACTGGCTTGGAGAGACAAGGTTCGTAGAGGATGGATGGGGCTTACACCTGGTGGCATATGACAAGAAAAAAATATATTTTTTCTTATTTATAACTAACATAAGTATTCGCTTCGTTACATAGTATAAAACAAGGTCACTGTTACTAACTGTCCATCAGTCTATGTATGCTTAAATCTTTAAAACTATGCAACAGATTTTGAATCGGTTTACTTTTATTAGATAGAATGATTCTAGAGGAATGTTTATATATGTAATACATGTACACCCATGAGAAGCCGGGGGGGAGTAGCTAGTAAATAATAATATGTAATTGTAGTAATATATAAAAGTATAAATAAACAAATAAAAATATCTTACACATAATTTGTTAGTTTTGAAATTAATTTAAATATATTCAGTATTCTGGGAAATCATCATTGTTATTGTCGTCTCAGTTTAAATTTATATACAAAAAGTAACATATAATATACAGTACAAGAATTTATGGGATATTCCTCACATAAATGATAGCCTATGACCTTCTCCAAGGATTTATCATATAGCTACATATATAAAGTACTCTCTGAGAATGCAGAGAACGAGTGCGCTAAATTAGGTTCAGTATGGCTTATCTCAAAACAAATAGAGATATCGCGGGGGACATGTGATTTTCGGCGACAGCATATTGTTAATTATATAAAATATAATCCTAAAAACATAACGGCCAATAAAACTTTTTTCAAGTTTAGTCCTGTAATATTGTTGCCAGAAAGCGATTGATATATTAAAATTGAAAATATTACATCACGAGTTAACCAAACTTTTCATATATATAAATGTTCATTTGCTGGCGATTTCTGAATGAATATATATAAAAAACACTTCGATCGACTGTCGAGAAGCCGATTTCGTAAATTTAATTGTTCTCTGTACACGGAATAATGAATATAATCTCACCTTTGGTCTTTTTATGTAGTTCATCCAATGTCCCTGGATTTTCACGTTTGTTCTCATTTTCTATGTTTTGTATATCGGTGCTTGTGAGCCCTGAGTTAGAGACACGATACCTGCTCGCTATACCACCCATTTTATTGTAGATTTCTTTATACTTTCCCTAAATTCCACAGAAATCGATGAACATGTGCAAAATTCTTTGGAATAAAAGACAATCGTTCGTTACGGAGTGAAGTTGACAGCAAATGTTACCATTACCAACAACAAAATTCAAGGACCATAGACAAAATGCAATGGGTACAATTAACTAACAATTATTAAACAATTTCATTACGAATGTAAATTAAATAATTTCTTTCAGTTAGCGAAAAATTATATTTCGAACATATATATCTTTATCCTAATAAATGACATTTTAAAGTTCTATTTCCCTTAAAATACATAGAACAACAAATTAATGGTGCAAATTAAAGTCAGATTGACATTTGACATTCACAGTTTGACATATTGTTTAATGTGTTACAAATTGTGCTGAAATTCTTTAATCATATGTTTTAATATTTATATTGAAAAATATATGAAATAAAGAAATCAAATAACATCGTGATCAATCGTAGTATCTTTTGTAAAGATAATAATAAGTGTATATTAAGACAAGTTTAGAACGAGTATCTCTATTTAGTTTCTGTAGAGAAGTAACTTTATAATTTTGCGTTAGATTCTCCAGATTATAAATAAAATTCTATAATACACCTGTTTTAATATTCAAAACACTTCAAGATGCCTAAGGTAGTTTCGCGGAGTATCGTATGTTCGGATACGAAAGATCAAGAGGAGTATAATGAAACGAAGCCATTGCACATATTTTACTGCATATGTGGACAAATGACTCTCATTTTGGACTGCACCATCGACCGCTTACCTTTAAGACCCACAGACGGAGCCAGAGTTATCGACGGATCCAAACACGCGCACAAAATCACTTCAGATCCCGATGAAACTGTATACTTGAAACGGGAAAAGGGTATAGAGCGCCAATATAGAATGAAATGTAAGAAATGCGCTGTGCCGTTATATTACAAACATGTACAGGACAATAATATTGTGTTTATTATGAAAGACGCACTAGTCCAGTCGGTCGGAGAGGGAGGAGTCACTGATATTTATAAACAAGTCGCTCTGACGCAGCCCAAGAAGATCATGGTTACGAAACACACAAAGAATATGGGTAAATTCAGTTCTGTAACTGTGTCAACTATAGATGAAGAAGAAGATGAGATAGAAGCGAGAGAGGTAGCCGACAGCTATGCAAATAATGCAAGGATCATAGAGAAACAGTTGGAGAGAAAGGGGATGAATAAACGGCAAGCAGAAACTCCTACTCAGCAAATGGAGAAGAGAGTACGGGGAACTTTGATTGATAAATAAATTTTATTTTATAATTTGTGTTTCAATCAATAAATCCATGTATTATTTTGTTTTCTTGCATACTTATGTATATGAATATGTAAATTATTGTCAGTCTGTAATATAGTTGTGTATATAAATAAATAAATAAATTTATTTTGTACTCAGGGTCAGCTACTCATGCAACTGCAACTGCATCACACTGACTGGTCATATATTACAGTTCGCCCAATTTGCAAATCTTTTTAAATCATGGTATATTTGTTATTCTGATAAGCTATATTACTGTATTGTTTCATCAAAATTGAGTAGTTTTTGCTTGAAATAGTAACAAACATCCATCCATCCAGCCATACTCAAACTTTCACGTTTATAATTGTGATTAGCCTGCTTTTTTATTTATTAATTTATTAAAACTAATTCACAAAAAAAATCTACATTTTAATATATAAATCAACATTATCATCATTTCAGTCCGTACCTAACCACTGTTGGATATAGGCCTTTCCAAATGCCTTCCACCATGAGCGATGTGAAGATCGCGGAAGGATTGGATGGACCTTCGTCAACCCATATATTAATATTATATATTTTTTTATTTCGTTATTTAATAGGCAACTACCATACCAAAATAACCAATATAATTCTAATCTTGAATTGTTTTTTTATAAAACCTGATTTCTAACACTCGGCGCCCTCTAGGAACTCGCGACCGGGTGCGGCAGCACTACTTGAACCTCCAGGTGTAGACGGTCCTGGTTGAAATTATCATCTCCTTGGACTCCGGTGATAAATAAGTTTTAAATTAAGGATACTGCGAGTGCTTGGTGTAGGGATTCCAATTGGCATAACGATAGTATGGTAGTTGAACAAACTGCTGTCGACATTGAGGTCGTTGTACATCAATGACGTGACTGTGCCTATTCTTGTGATATTTGAGTCAACACTCGAGACCCTTCCATTACTACCTCTCCAGATAACATAGATTTAAGTTGAGTGTAAAATTAGAACACGTTCCGACTCCGCGTCGAACGTACGCGTTACTATTAAGCCATGTAGCATACTATCTAATAAACTTACTAATTTCCAATAAATAGTAAAATTATTACACCTAAATACTCACTAGCTACATACAATAATAAACAATATATTATGTAGCGACACCTCATCACAGCGTATATAGCGCTAGAGTGGTGAGGTGATAACCATCGCGCTTCAATATGGTAACGATTGTATATATATCTTATATATAATAATAATAATAATCTCAGGACAATTCACACAGCGCCATCTAGACCCAAGTTAAGCTAGCTAAAGCTTGTGTTATAATAACTCATACATATACAAGATTTTTTTTTTTAAATACATACATATTATACATAGAAAACACCCAGACCGATACAAACAATCATACTCATGAATACAAATGTTTGTGCCGTGCGAGGAATCGAACCCGCGTCCATCGGTCGTAAAGCGGTGTGCTAGACCGCTAGACCACCGAGCTCGTCATATAAAATTCTCGTGTCACAATGTTAGTTACCATACTCTTCCAAAACGGATTGTCCGATTTTTATGAAATTTTATATGCATGTTCAGTATCTCTGAGAATACGCTACTATCTATTTTTTATGCCCCTAAGTGTTAAGCGTTGTCCACCCCTAATATTTTTTTTTTATGGACAACTTTTATTTTTTATAATGTGGTATTAAAAATACACACGACATCAAAATTTTCACCTTTCTACCATTAACACTTATTTTTTAATAGAGTTATTGCTATTTTTATATCCCTAAGTATTAAGGGTCCACTCCTAATATTTTTTTTATTTTTGTGGACAACTTTTTATTTTTTTAATGTGGTATTAAAAATACATACGACATCAAAATTTTCACCCTTCTACCATTAACACTTATTTTTTAATAGAGTTATTGCTATTTTTATATCCCTAAGTGTTAAGGGTCCACTCCTAATATTTTTTTTATTTTTGTGGACAACTTTTTATTGTTTTAATGTGGTATTAAAAATACATACGACATCAAAATTTTCACCCTTCTACCATTAACAGTTATTTTTTAATAGAGTTATTGGTATTTAAATTTATATATCAAGACAACGTTTATCTGGGACAGCTAGTATACACATATATGTAGTTTCATGTAGAGAATTCTACTTAGGTTTTACTTTAATATTACTTTTGCGTTGATTAAAAAAGTTCATCAACATAAGTACCTATGTCTTTTTAGTTTTTCTACCGCGTACAATTTTCTCAGACAAACTTTCGTAATAAAAAGTTTAAGAAAGTTAAGCTACGCTTGCTCTAATAACGCGTATATGCCCATCTTATGTATTTGAGTCGTGTTTACATGATGTAAAATATACATAAATTATTAAAACGAGGGTATTTGTAGACTAACATTAGACATATCATTTATTTAGATGTTTACTTATAGAAAAAAATATTACTGGTGTATATTTAAAATATTGTAATTAACCATTTGTAATCGACAAGTAATTTGTCTATGGTAAGAAAAAAAAATCTATGGTCTACCATAGATTTCTTTTTCTTTTTACTTGTTCTAACAAGTGAATTTTGATTTTGTAAAATAATAAAAATGGCCTGTGTTTTTTAAGAAATATAAAAGGGTTATTTGATTTTTAAATTGTATTTTATTCACAAGGTGTCACGGACGGCCCGGACACTACAATTACAATTTATATTTTGTACAAACTGACAACCTTGGTGGTCTAGGGGTGTAGCACACTGGTTTACTTCCGGTCGCGGCTTTATTCCTCGTACAGTGCAAACATTTACATTTGTGGGTATGATTGTTTGAATCGGTCTGGATGTGTTTTATTACATTATTTTTATTTAATTCAGACTACATGGCCCATATTATAAACTAGCTTTTGCCCGCGGCTTTGCTTGCGTTAATTTATCCCCTTATGGGTGGAACTTATCAAAATCCTTTCTTAGGGGATGCCTACGTCATAGTAGATTTATGCATGCAAAGTCTCAGCCCGATCGGTTTAAAATTGACAAAGTTTCATACAAACTTTGATACCCTTGCAGGTAAAATTAATCAAAATCCTTTCTTAGCGGATGCCTATGTCATAACAGCTACCTGCATGTCAAATTTCAGCCCGATCCGTCCAATGGTTTGGGCTGTGCGTTGATAGATTACTATGTCAGTCACCTTTGAGTTATATATATATAGATACTAACTCATAGACTAACATATGCACATAATATCATTATTACATAGTATAAAATAAAGTCGCAGTCGCTGTCTGTACGTCCCTATGTATGCTTAAATCTTTGAAACTACGCATCGGATTTTGAAGCGGTTTTTTGAATATATAGAATGATTCTAAAGGAAGGTTTATATGTATAATACATGTACACCCGGGCGAACACGGGGCGACTAGCTAGTTAGTAGATAAAAGGATATGTTGAGAAACTCTTTTGATATAAATATATTTAAAGTTCATTTTTTAATTTTTGTTTTATTCTCTAATCAAAAAATATATACATAGTAGTAATGGGCCGGGTCAATGTGCTCCCTCTAATATGTTTGTGTGATGTATTTACATCCGCGTGTCAATGTCAAGTTTGACACATTGATCTGTAATTGTCAGTTGTCAAAATAGAGTGATATTAGCATTATATAGAAATGAATAAGATGGCGTTTCTGCGAATGTCCTATTGTTGTGTTAAAACAGTAATCAATAAAAATCATTAAAAAGGCGTGTTATTTTTATTCAACGTGTAATCAGAAGGCCTGGTACACATTAGTTTGAGTGCAATGATGGTTGGCTGATGTCATACTCGTGAACGGGTGCTGCTTGTGGGGACTAGTCTGTTCGACTTACGAACACTGATTAGACTATTTACTTTTTCAATAGCATATGCTGGTGGTCACTCTATTCTCCCAAATTTGAATTTAAAAATGAAACTGTATTATTGTAAACATGTACAACATTCTTTTGAAAAGAATACGAGCTGAGTTTCTTGTCAGTTCTCCTCATCTTAAAATCATTCCTAACTGACGGTAGATTTGGCCTATTATAAGAGTCTGTAATAGATCTGCATGAATAAAGATATTTCGAATTTGAATTTGAATATATATGTAAACAATATTATGCACATGTCTTTATAACTACCATTAAAATATTATCCCATTGTAAATTGTATTACTACATATTTCTACAACAGGGCAGGTTTTATAAAGAATTAGTAAGTTTAAGAAAGAATAACAGGCAGCCTTAACTAACAACTGGTCTTGAACTCACGTCCTCCTTACACCAGTGGCGTAGTTAAGAAACCAAGGGCTCTCGGGGAAATAAAAAAATGGAGTTCCACTGTTCAGCAGTGGGGCCCTACATTACAGTCTTATTGAAACGCACATATCGCTACATGTCAAATTGACAACACTGCCAACTCAAAAAAGAAATTTAGGGGAATTCCGAAGGTATAACTTTCGAATTTCCCTCAACTGAGTTGCCATGATTAAAGTCGGGTTGTAACTTGGCATATTTATTTTGAAATTGGTAGAAATTTTCAAAAGTTCAGTTCTGTTAAGATTGTATTGTTAGGGTTCGAGGGCCCCCTGAGCTTGAGGGCCCCGGGGCACTGCTCCGCCTAGCGCCTAGATAGCTACGCCACTGCCTTACACCCTATATATTATGTACATAGAAACATGCAAGAGACTCCGTACTTTATATAATTACTCTGCTATATCAACATCTTAGTCTTCAACTGCAAGTTAAATTACAAAGCAAGCTGCTTTGCACGTAGATATATGAGACAGAGTTGCCAAAACAGGTGTATTCGTATAAACTTCGCTTTTTCTACCGCAGTATCCTTCCAGTTACGTAAAACAAAACTATGTCACATTTGACAGTTAAAAAAAACTTTTCTCTATGAATCCAATAGCAGCTCGCACCCAAGTAACTATGCGTAGATATATAAAGGCTAAATGTAAATAAATGATAAAGCAATGAGCAAGCAGATAGCGTTCCCGTGGTGCTATCATTT